CTCAAATCCCATTGCTCTGAACCCGACTTACATCCTTGTGTAAATTATGCCACCTTACCGTTTTTCACATCGAGCGGAAACTGCTTCCAATGTAAAAATGACTTATTGAGGAGTATAGATACTTTCATCACTCGTTACTTTAGGCTCGATTTCCGCCGCTCTCTCGGGTCCGGTCTTTCTCGTTCCTCCTCTAGAGTTCGGGGAGGAGCGCGGGCTCCGGTACCCGACTCGGAACAGCAGCTGATAATCGAGCCTATCATTACTTTTGATCTGGTAAAGCAGTTCATTTTTTTTTTGTAGGCTATGAAAGAGAATTGAACTATCGTCGAAGTGATATGTCGTTCAGCGCATTTGCCAGCCGACCTGGAAGTACATGGTGTGTAAAAATTTGAAGTGATTTACGTAGTTACTGTTATACATTATTGGAGATATATCTGCCAACATCTTAGTTTTAACTTGTTTTACTTGTCTCCGGGAGGTGTGTGGTCCTCCCATGCTGTGCTGGAGGTCCTTTTGTCACGTCCTGCCTTTCAATCCTGCTACCCACACGCGCCTCCACGGGCTACTAGTCATAAATGCGGTTGCTTTCACTCTTACTGTACACTGAACCTAAATAAAGACATACCCTTCTTATTTGTGGCATGAAAAAGAAAAAGAAGAAAGCCGGTCCTCTAATTACGAAAAAATTGCATAAATGGAGCTCCGCTTTTATGCGTGGCTGAGTCTGTATATTCTTATAGTCTTATATTCTTTCGCTCATCAAGTTCTTTTCATCTTTTTCACATTAAGGCTGACCGCTTTTGTAATGAGAGTATTCTGTGAGGCTCAGCAATTTGCAGGAGTCAACATTGATGAAGAAATGGTTTGTCGGTCTGTTGGTTGGCTAACGAATAACCAGCGGGGAGATGGGGCCTTGCCCGAAGTCCACGCGGTCATTCATAGAGAGATGGTGGTAAGTTGTTTCCTTCCACTTCACAATCATCCAATTGGGGAAAGTTACGCAACCCCTTTGGAGAGCATTGCGCGACAATCCAAAGATTAACTTCAAAGGAAACGTAGAGCTGGGATATATATCCTGCATGTTAATGTATTATATTGATAATGAAGAACTGCCAATCAAGGGAACCATTTCTGATCAGTTTAGGAAATAAAGAAAAGTGTAATATTACCCTTTGAGGAAAAAATGGTTATAGAGAACGTTCCAAAAAAAGAGTGAACTCAGTGAATGTTACACCTCATTAATTACTTTCGTTAGAGATTAAAAACCTTCGAACAATTTTGATAAGTCCTAACACACCGGTGTTGCTTTTTTTTCAGGGAGGTGTTTACACAGAGGGAGATGTTGCCATGACAGCCTTTGTTTTAACTGCCCTGGCGGAATGCAAATGCTCAGTAGTGGTAAGTGTTCAATCATATTTATTGTTTGAATGCCTTTTAACCTGTATTACCGAAAGGATGAGTAGTGGTCTAGATATTTAACGATTTAAGTAATTTTCATAGTACTGTGAGGCTTAATGAATAACTGAAAACTAACACCTAGACTCCTAGTTCCAGTGCAGGCGAAACATACTCCTCGAAAAAAGATTTATGGTTCACTTTTTCCTTAATCTCTCTCCTTCCGATGTATTGGTCAATGCGCTTATTATCAAAACATTGTCGTATGCTATGCGTAAGCTTTTCTTTATTGGATAATAATAATGCATTCAAAACACTTTGATGCTAAGTTGACTTCAAAATTACTAATCTACTTCTCCATAGGCCTCAACAGCCTCCATAATTCGCGCAACAGACTACTTGGAGAAGCAGTACAAAAACTTGAACAGACCTTACAGTATGGCTCTCACAGCATATGCTCTGGCATTGGTGAATAGCAAAGAAAAGTTCAATGCCAACGACCGCCTGGTACAAAGAGCCATGTATGACAATGGTAAGACATTGGCTTCTGAACGGGTTCATTTGGTTTCCTGTTTCTCAGGAAAAAAATAAATTTCACATTGCGGTATCAACAATTAAGTTCACGAAATTATTTTATTCAGTAAGAATTTTATATTACGTTTGATGAAGCATGGTTCTTGTCCAGTCTGACGCTGCATTTTGTGTGGTCCAAGATATTCGTTAGAGACCCCATAGAATTTTTGGGCAAATTTGTTCAGCATCAGGCACAAAATCCGGTTTGCAATAAACTTTGAGGCCTGATGTATGCATGATAAAAATGAGATATTAATTTAAAAAAAACTTTGAAATATTTGTTTTAGATTTGTTTTCGTTTCTCCTTTCAGCTAAAAAGTCTCGTTACTGGAATACTGGTGGCAACGCACTGGATGTGGAGACCGCTGGATATGCGCTGATGACTCAAGTCCTTCTCGGACGCACAGGTTACGCAGGTCCTATTGTCACCTACATGACTAGTCAGAGGCAGGGCGGTGCTGGATTCGTGTCTACTCAGGTCTGTAAAACAAATTAGTTAAAAAGTGAGACTCGCCTGATAATTTATTTTTCAAATATTTCTTGCTTTTTTTTTTTTTTTTTGTCATGTTGCTGATTCAAGCAGTATGCAGTACGCGTGTCGTAATTAATCTTAGTAAATGGCCTTATTTGCCAACCAACCTCTCTCCCAGGGTTTGTCTTTTACCTCTCCCCTCTCTTACTCCAGCTGGTGTAGGAAAAAAGAACGTTGGGAACAAGGCTGCTCGCATTCGAGCTTTCTGCAGTGCTGTTGGATAAGGTTCGAATGCTTACCGGGGGACTAAGGCGACCAACTATCGCGGGACTCAAAACAATGAATGCATTAAAAACCTTTCAACGATGTAATGTAGGAGTATCCCGAATGCTTCAGTTTCTCTAGTTACTTATGAGCTTTTTCTGTTACAAACACCAAGAGTGTTCCAGAAGTAATAACAGCAAACTTTTGTGGGAATTTAGAGTGATCAGTTTATTTGGGGTTTATTTTATTTCAAGCTTAAGATTTTTTGTCTATCGGATGAAGCATTTCTTAGCGAGAAATCAGGAAGGAGAAATTGCTGCAAGTTTGTTTTGACTCAGAGAGCTGATCGCCATTTTTCTAGACAATGTATCAAACAGAATTATTTCCTTCTAGGATACAGTGGTCGCTCTTCAAGCTCTGGCTATGTACAGCGAACAGACCGCAGGTAACAACTTGGATATGAGAGTGAAATTGTCATCAGAAGTGGATGGTGACTGGAAACCAGCGCCGGTGCGCATCACGTCAGATAATGCGCTGCTGCGGAGACAATTTGATGTAAGGATTGTGATTAAGATACTTGGTAGCTATGAAGCAATTGACAATCGAGGGTCAACATTAAGCGGCAATTTCGTTGGTTTGAGTCTGCGTTGCTTTGTGATTGTTGTAGAAAACTGGTTCTTCCTTTTCAATCGATTTGATGCATTAGTGAAACCTATCGGGGCTTTGGCGTTCGCATGTGGCATGTGGTCACCTTGAATTTCCATTGTTTTCTGGTAGGATATATTTTTTTCTGATTGGCTGTGGTAACGCTCGTTTTGGTTTTACAACACCAAGTCGATATGTTTTTGAACAGTTTTCTTTACAGCTATGGTTTAGAATGAACTACACGTTACTTGATGTTTAAAGTCATGTATAAAGCGCATTGTGATTGAATCTCGAGAAGCCTTTGAGAAACAAAAGTTAAGGCAATCAGACTGGAATGCGAGTGACCGAGTCGTGATAGGTTACAGTTTTGGATCTGATTGGTTGACAAAATGGCACGACTTTTCTGGATCAATAACATTGCAGAATAAAGCCAATCTAAAGCAAATTACTTTATTGATAAACATTTGAATCAAAACGCATATCATGTTCAAGGGTAATTGAGCGCGCATTGAAACTTGAGGGTAAAAATTATTTATGTATTTCATTGCAGATCAAGGATCTCCTTGGGGGAAATCTCTTTGTTGACACTCAAGGAAGCGGAGTAGGAATGCTGGAGGTAAGATTAACAATGAATTTATAAAATCCTGTCAACTACACCGGACACAACGTGCGGGTAAAGTGGGAAAACCAGTCGGATATCGGGATGTGGAATGAAATTCATGAGCTTCTGTCCTTCGAGATTTGTGCGCGATCATGGTCAGTTGATCGCCTTGGGGGAAAAGACTTATGCACTTGACGATTTTTTTGTTTTTAAACTCTTCTCATTGATTTGGCACTTCACCTTTATTCTCGCCTTTCGCTCAACGTCTTCATACTGCAATGAATTAGATTAAAATGGACAGAGCTGAATAACTTATGCGCATGCGCTAAGTTTTGCCGCGGAAAACGGATTTTTGTGTAGTTTACAGGATTGATTCCGTATTCTGTTGCTTCGAGGCGTCGTTTTCCTTCTCGCTTTTCTTTTACAAAACAATTTCCAAAAACTTGGTACACCCCCTAAAAATTTTCGAAAATTAATTTCTCTTTAAAACCTCTGGAAATAGGAAAATGCCTTTGACGAAAACAAAGTTCCTCGGTTTTAAATAACAGCCCTTATTATTTTCCGCTAATTTCGCTAAGTTTTAGACCTAGAACACTAGAGTCCGCGTTGATGACCGCAAACCCTCTGACGTAGCATTTCATTTTTCAGCCCTGTCATTAAAATGTACACTTTTTAAGTCCAGAAAACATCCTTTTTTCCTTTTCTTTTTTTTTTTTTTGGTGAGTAAATATCGTATATCGTTTATCGTATATAAATGGTTACGGTTTCTCATCTTGGTGTATGCACTTTCTATGTGAAGTATAATCGTTTGTCTCACTATGTAGTCGGATTTGAATTGTTGTCAGCTATTAATATGAGATCTGAGATTTTGTTAACTGTCAAAAAAATCTAAACCATCGACAGTTTCTCTCATCTTGACCACCTCACTTGGTGAAAGAAACAATGTAGAATCCTTTGCTTGCCGCTTGATGAGGAGAAATTTTCAGAAGGCCATCCCTGCACTCTTACCCATGGTTTGTGGAAGAATTTTCGCATTATTGAACGAGTAGAAAATTATCTTACAAACATGCGTTTAAATTTCAGGTTGAAGTTCGTTACAACGTTCCTTCAACACGCGGCGAGATTTGTAAGTTTGACCTAAACGTGACGGTTAAAGAAATTAAAGAACCTCAAGTTGGCAATCTGTTTGGTCCTGTGCAAGATGAAGCTGAGGAAGATGAAGGGCAAGATAAAAAGAATCAGAAGGGAAAAGGAGGAATTAAACGATGTAAGAAACTAAAAGGCAAGAAAGCGAGAAGAAAGTGCAGAAAAGAGGAGAAAAGAAAGGAGAAGGAAAGAAAGGAAAAAGAAAAGAAAAAGAATAAGAATAAAAACAACAAAAGGCCACCACCTAAACATCAGCCCGTGCAGAGCATTCACTTGAAAATATGCACTCGGTAAGTTTTTATTCCTCATTTTTTATTTGTGCGGATTACTATTAGTTTCGTTTATTGAATTTGTGTTCAAGATCATTCACAAGAAGACAAGTCACATTATGAGAAAAAAAACCAAGCACAAATAATCGTTAGAAACGTTAGGTGTAGTCTACACTCGAGCCAAGTGGCCCATCCTGTCTGAGAATATCCCGGTTTCTGTAGCATGAACTGCCTCTCTGTCCTCCTGGGTGGAATATTGGCCCATCGCAGGTTTCTCCTCCACCCACCCACCCACACC